AGTTCTGGTTACATTGTACTACCGTTACTTCACACTTTAAATGAATAAAGTTTCTATTTGAAAATATAATTCGCTCTTATCAATATGGTCACCCAACAGGTCATTGAAAGCGTACTTGTCAATAAAACGTGATTATTAAAGCAAAATTAAATAATAATAATACATTTAAAATACTTTTAATAATACATGAATGAAGGAATAAAATGTCTTTCTGAATATCAGTTACAGATCTTTGGGACTTTTCAATCCCTGATAAAGTGATTTTAACATTTTTTTCAACTCCTTGAATTTTTATTGAAATGTTAGACATTAGATAGAATATATTAGTCAAAATACAAAATTTTAATACATAAAAAATTTAATGTTTGTGAGTTCTCAAATTCAAAACTAGAATTTTAACCAAAAAAATTTGTTATAAGCACACGAATATTCATCGTATAGTTAGTCATATAGTTTATCGTTGTTTGAATCATCAAATGCATCTAAAATTCGTTGAACAATAATATTTTTGATAGGTACACTGGGTGTACTGTAATTTAAAGGGTGCAAAAGAAATATTACGCCCAAAGTATCTTTTTGAGTCTTTTTATGACTCAAACTATCCTCAAATCATGCCCAGACTCTAACTTCGATTTAATTTACTTCTTTACAAAGTATTTGTTTAGTTAACGAAGTGAAATGTAAATCATATCTTAATTTTTTTTTCAATTTCTCGGTCTATAATTTAATTTCATTTGAAACGATCAAACGTTTTGAAAAATTCAGTCATAATCTTTCAATAATTTTAATCACTTTATTATATACATTTTTCTATATTACAGATGAAAGAATTAAAAGCATACGTGATTATTATCGACGCAGATGATAATAAAACCATCATTCCTAAAAAGTGGATTGCAGAAGATTTAAAAGGGTATTACTGGCCTCTTTTCGAGACAAGTTCAGATCTTAAAGCTGCTATAATTAAACAAATTGACGTGGAAGACGATTGGGATTTTCATGATATACATCAAATTGTTAAATCTGATGGTAAAACTAATTTTTAAATTAATTTTTCTTCATTTCTTGCTTCAAAGTACGTTATTTCATTTTAAATGCTTTTATATATATTATAACGATCAATGAAACTTACTTTGGAACGAGGAGCTAAAAATTTGAACGTTCTTTTCTGTGATTACGGCACTGGGCTTTGCCTCCAGTGAAAACCACGCAAAAAACGACGTTTCAATTGTTCCTATAGTCACAAGAAAAACGATTTTGATTAAAAAAAATTCTCTATGATATAGACGATTATGCAAAAGCTGTTGCCAATTCAAAATTGCAAGGTCTTGAAGATTTGACTGATCCCAGCGACACTGAAAAACAAATGAAAACACGATCGGGTAGATTACGGAAAAGACAAGAGAACGAGTCTGAGCAACAGCCGTCTAAGAAAACTCGATTATCACAAACGCTTATTTGTTCATCTGATGAGGAATTAAATAATAGAAGTACTAATAAGCATACTAATGAAGAAGAGGCTATAAAAGTACCAACAAAATTGAATATAAACAAAAATAAGGATTTTCCTTTAAAAAAAAGCGGACAAGTTGCTAAATCTACAGATAAACTGGGAGTAAAAAAACAATCTTCAACTTCAGGAGGAACCTCGTCTGAGTCTAATGGTCAAAAGAAAAAAGGCATTCCACCAGAATCATCTATTTTTCATCTGTCAGATGATGAAGAAAATGGAAATAAAGATAAAGATACTATTAGTTCAAAGAAAACATGTATTTCACCAAGATCAGCCCTTCAGCAACTGGCAAGTGATAACAATGATTCTACAGATCTTACATTAAAAAATGATTATCCTCCTGATTTATTGAGAGTGATTTATGGTGAGTGTGCCTGTTTTTTCTCAAAATTCAGAATTCAAGTAGGATTTTTATTTAATGATAATTTCTTTTATAGATGTAAGCTGTAAATTATTAACAAAAGTGAATGCTTTAACCGCGAAGGTTGAGCAATTAGAATCAACAGTTAGTAAGCAAAAGTTATTAGTAGCTAATTCCTCTGAAAATCGTTCCATTACCGAAGAAGAAGAAGAAGAATTAAAAAAATATTTTCCTATGAATACAATGGAAGATGTTACGGCAGTAGAGCAAAAGTTAACATCTAAAGCTTTCTACAGAAGTGTGGTAAGAAAAATAATTAATTTATTTTATACTTTTATTTTATATTGCGAGTAATTTGCATGATTATGTACTATTATCGTAAAAAGTTGAAGATATTAATTTCTCCCCAATATTACTAATAAAAAAATTGTTTAATATCCATTACTTACTATTATATTTGATAGTTGCAGTCTAAATGATTAAAAATTGATCTGAACCTCAGTTATGATATATAATTCGCAGTTTGGTAATTAAAAAACACAAAAACTTTATCTATTTTGCGTCTGAAACACGATATTTAATTAAAAAAAACCTTTTAACAAAATAAAATAGATCCTACAGATTCATTTCTGGGTTAACATTAATGGTGATTTTTTGTTATTGTATGTACCAACTTGTTAGTAAAGCATGTGAATATTAATGTTTTCATTCTGACTCACTGTACGTAAGCAAAAATATGGTCTGTAAAATACAATTAAGTAGCTATTGAAGCAATTACTTTTGGTTGTTGAAAAATAACGTGAAAAAATTTCAAATAACCAACTTATTTAATCATTTTATTTTCTTAATATCCGTAATTCCTTAAAAACTTCACAATTGTATTTCTAACCAAGGCCATATTTTTATAAATCACTATTTAATTTAAAACTATTGCTCTATCCTCACTCGCTAACGATCGTTAGGTATTTTAGATTTTTTTTGAGAAATTTGTGATTTCGATTGAAAAAAAGTACTATTATAATGCTTCTATAGTTCTATTATAGTAGTTTTTTTTAGGAATTGAGATCAGAAATTTTTGGGGATCTAAGCACTTTTTTCAGCTTCAAAGCGTTATATATAAGATTATAGAACTCTTTCTGTTTTTAGGTCATTTTTACGAATCAAAAAGGAGGCTCTGACTTCCGCAAATTAATTAATAATATTATGAAGAACTTAATGACCAATGAACTAGCTACCAAATTTAATTTCACTGGAAGAGGCCCAAACGGAGGATTTAAGACACTAACTCTATGCAATTGTGTCTACCGTACGTATTATAAGTTTTATATTTAAATGTTATAAGTAATTAAGTATAATGATAGAAATAAACTCTAAAAACTCTTATTAGAAAGTGTACGGAGGAGCTTCGGAGCTACTGATGAAGAAATTAAAGAGGGTATTAAAAATTGGCTTGACCATGCCAACACACGGATCGGGAGAGCCAGGTAGTTTACCAAATTGTAAATAGTTTTAAATTTAATTATGGATTAATGAAACTAACTTATTATTTTCAGCAAAAAAGCTAATGAAAAATTTACTCCAGTTGATATAGATATTTAATTGGCTAAACTTTTTAAAGGGTGTTACAATAATTTATAGAAATATAGATGAAAAATTAATAAATACATGACTTATTTTCAAATGAAAATCATGATTTTTTATTAAACTAACTTTTCATTTTTTGAGCTCGCTGAATTCCTAACTTCCTATGTAGACTCACCTATTTCAAAGAGTTCATGTAAAGTTTATTAGAAAATTGATTGAATGCATTTGCAGAGGCTTACCCAATTTTTAAAGAAATTTTTCGTGAAAGATTCTTGAATACTATTGTTTAAACTTCAGCAAGACTTTCTGGAAAGTTTATACAATAGTATTCAGGAATCTTTCACGAAAAATTTCTTAAAGAATTGTGTAAGCCTTTGGAATTGCATTCAAACAATCTTCCAATAAACTTACATAAAATCTTTTGGGAATCATCCACGAAAACTTCTTCAAAGGGTTCTGAGAACCTTCCAAAATGCATTCAAGAAAGTATTCAAAAAGCTTACATAACAGCTTTCGAAACGACCCTTGGGAACCTTTTCAACTGCTTTCAAAGAAGCTTCCCACAAGCTCGCTAGAGATCTTTTTCAAAACCTCTCTGAAAGTCTTTCAACAACTTTTCAAAATGCTTTCCCGGAAGCTTCCATGAAAGCTCTCCGAAATCTTGTGAGTGAGCTTCTTAGAAGCTTTTTGAGAATCTTTTAAAACACTTTCTGGGAGGCTTTCTAAATGCTCTCATGAAAACTTCCCGGAGGTTTACAGGGAATCTTTCAAGGCACTTTCAAGAAAGCTTTTTGAGACTATTTTGTCGCGGACATTTTCAGTTTCCCATAAGCTTCCATGAAAGCTCTCCGAAATCTTGTAAGTAAGCTTCTTAGAAGCTTTTTGAGAATCTTTTCAAACACTTTCTGGGAGGCTTTCTAAATGCTCTCATGAAAACTTCCCGGAAGTTTGCAGGGAATCTTTCAAGGCACTTTCAAGAAAGCTTTTTGAGACTATTTTGTCGCGGACATTTCAAATTTCTCGAAAGCTTTCATGAAAGCTTCCTGGAAGGTTCGAAAACTTTCTTGAAAGCTTCCTGAAAGCTTTCAAGGATCTTTCATGCTATGTGGGCAGCGCACGATACTGATCGACGCCCTGGACGTATTGAAGCGGTCGCCGCTATTTTATGCTCTGCTACACGGCCACATGAAGCTGGCCGACTTATTGGTCAAGAGAGGTGCCGATCTAATCCTAAATTGGGGCTTCAGATCGATGGGTAGCAAAGCAAGATGATTTGGCAGCAGGCCCAGATCAGTTAGAATATTTTCAAAGTGTTGCCGTGTCTTGTGTTGTGACGATGTTTTGCCCAAATTGTGCATTTTAGTTAAATAAAGAAATGAAAAAAAAATTTAAATTGTCAATGCTTAAAATTTATTTCAGTTGTATTTACCAAAAAAAAAAAATCCTATATAATTTTTATACCAATTGCAGCTATCCTTACGCGGCTGCTTAAATATACATTGACAAAGGTGCATGAAAAAAAATGAAACGACGCATCATTACCTCGTATCCCGTCGTGTTGCCGATCGCTGGATGATGCACCAGGGTGACGAAGAACAGCGGCCCCCAGAAAATGACGTAGGCCGCCGTGATGACGAGAAACATCTTCACCCTCTGGACGCCGTCGCGCTCTATTCTTCGCAGATAGTTTCTCATTTTTTGATGCTCCTGGATGGCGCCAACCCTCTGCTCGTTATAGATAAAAAAATATTTATATCATCAATTTGTACGCGTCGTAGTTTATTGTATAAAAAAAGCCAATTAGCTTAATCGATTCGGTGCAAAAAAAAGTAAAGGATCTCAGTGCGGAATTTGCAGCGCGCGCGAGCTTCTGGAATATTGCCCGGGAAGATTGATATTTTTTCGGGTTATTACATTATAGTTGCGTCCAAGAAGAGAAAGAGAAAGAGAGAGAGTTAGAACATCGTCGATCCGCGTACAGAAGGGACAAAGAAAAAGTCAGCCCCAAAGGCCCAAGGCTCGATCTCGATTAGCATTATCGATTCCGTCGGTGCACTGCGCGCGTTATATACAGCCTATACGTAGCGGCCCACGTCTTCGCAATATCCAAAGTCGCCGCCGCTAAGCGCAAGCACAAGCCTGGCAAAGCCCCTCTGCGTATATGTATATATGTGTGCGCTATTGATTCTGCAAGGGACTCGGCGAGCTTTTGCACGCGTGTAATCGCGTTCCTCTATATAGCAGCTGACGCTCGGTACCTATACACATATCCGTATATATAGCTCTATCTATCCCTCTCTCTCTTTGGTAAGGGAAATTTCGACCAAAGTCCAATCGGAGTTTAATATTACCCACACACACACACACACACACACGAACATAGAGCCTTACCTTTGGCGTACCGCTGCTTCTGCGAACACCGTCGACCGCCGAGCCGCCGTCTTCTCCGGGTCTCGGTCCAGCCGCCTGGCCGCCGGTCACGTTGACCAGTGTGGTCACGAGTCCGGTTACTCTCACCTATATATACATACGTGACAGACTTATACAGACCAATATACGAGTGTATTTTAAGCCCTGTAATTGCTCGGTGGACTTTCGTTTTATACACGAACTTTGCGAGCTAGTGAATTTGATGAGCTTTTTGCGCTCGACGTTTATTACGATCGTATACGCTATACTTTTATCCATTAACATTACATTGTAGTTCGATCGATCATTTTTTCTTTTTTAGTGTTCGATTCTTTGACACCTCAGAATGAACAGATGTTGAATTGATAGTCACGCATAAAGTAGAATGTAAAACGGAAAAGCTTCTACGAAAAAATCGCGTTACGCTATTTAATAAAAAAGGTACTTTATTTAAGAGAATTTACTTTATTTTCAGGAAAAAAAACTCATTTCGCACTGCGAACATATTTTACCCGTACAAGTGTACCTCTTACAAAATGAAGTGGTGTGTGACATATATACCGCTCCCTGCTTTATTTTCACTATACACATACTACTGTTCTCGCCCGAGTGTGTCAGAACGGCTACGATTGCATTAGCATTGACGTTTTCAGCGAAGCGTAAAATTTTCATTTTTATATCACACCCGGCATACAGCCGACAGTTTCATTTGGAATTTTTTCCCCTCTTACCGAGAGCGAATCAAAAGGCTTTCACGGAGGCGCAAAGTACTTCCCTTTTTTCTTTTCTTTTTTCTTTTTTGAATATGAAAATTCTTACCGCCTCGACGTTGGATTTCGTCAAGTCTCTGTGCAGCTTTCTGAGGTGGAAGAGCGTCAGCACGACGCAGATGATGTTGATGAATATCCATAACAGATTGAGTATGTAGTGGCGGAAGGGGCCGTGCACCAGGGGACAGCTGGGCTCGTTGTGGCCCGTCTCCGTGTTGGCGGCCAGCGCACCGCTCAGAAAGGTCGGGCCCAAATTGATGGTGATGCTCGCGAACCAGATCATGAACGTACCGAAGATTACGCACTGAAGAAGAAGGAAAAAATTCATTGCTTGAAACGAAAACTACTTCCTCGATGTACGGTGAGTCATTGATAAAAGGGATAAAATAGCTTTTGCCCCGTAAGAAATGTTCATTGTATGATAAGGCCTTAATGACTAAAGAATCATAATTTGAAATGTTTTAAAATACATTATCGAGCGTGTTTTGATTATGTGAAGATTTAATTTTTTTAGTAATTTAAGTCTTCGCCAATAGATGGCGAGTACTCATATCCGAGTACCTGCAAGTGGCTAAGTAAAAATAATTGTATAAGTCAAGTACGGGTTCACAAGTTTCACAAGTCATTTGATAATGATTTACAGAGGGGTAGTATAAAAATGTAGATTTGGCAAAACTGCCCTGAAAAATAAAAAATATTAGCGAACCGAATCAAACGGATTCTAGTGTAATTTACTCTACTTGCTTCTAGACAATGATTTGCCGTTCCCTAAAAGTTATCCATAAAATATTGGGCATCTCTACCGCAGGTTGTCAGTATTATTTATTTAGATAATAAGAAAAAAAACAGATGTTTACCTGAGGTGAATCCATGAGAATGGGCGCGGCGATCTCTATGCCATCGCCGTCGTTCTCCTCCTCGAAGACGGGACTGTCGTTGAGCACGGTAGTAAGCATGTTGACCGTGGAAACGGTGACCAGCAAGAGAAAGGCCGTCTCGACCAGAGAGCACTTATTGACCGGCTGACAGTTGAGGATGCTCGAGCCGAGTGGCAAGAGGATGGCGGCTCGCGCGCAATCCACCATGGCTTGATGAAACAGCAGACCTTGCGACCATCTGCGGTATTGTAAAAAATGAAATAATACTTTAATTTCAAACCTTCGATGATACGTGAGAATCACGACTCTGCTGTATTATAATTGACCTTCTCAAGTTTCGCTTGCCGAGTATGAGGGCCATGAGCATAATGTTGGCGCCCATTCCCATAGCGCCGAGGCTAAAAATGACGGTGGCCTCGGCCACGCCGCCCGGATGGCACTGGAAGACCTTTGTGGCGTTCGACGTGACATTGCCCGACGCCCCGATGCCGAATCGCAGATTGGCTCCTATCATCTCTACTGCTCAATCTGTAACAATGAAAAATTTACATTATCTTCACTATACAGTCAAAAACATATGTAATAATTATATTTTTAATTAATTTATTTATTTTCATACAAATTCAATTAATTTTCATCAGAGAAATAATAGTCCAAAATAAAATGTTCATTTTATAGGTAATTTAGTTTTTCATAAGTAGAATAAGCCTATATAGTCTGATCACAGCTTGACTTCGCTACTTAAACTCGACATATACAGAGCTCATACATAGCGGACGTGATCGACGGACAAAAGCGAAGTATTTAGCAGCTGATCGCGGACTATACTGTCGAGTTCTCCGCACGCTCTCGTAGATTATATTTGCCAAAGGAGTCGAACAAACAAACTCGCAGTAGTCCTACTACCTACCTACCTATACTGTCGAGTGAAGGGGCTTTTGGCCTATCTCTCTCGGCGAGTAGCTATGCATGCACACACTGCGAGGCTAATTGCCGCGCTGCAGTGCTCGGCTAACTGACCGCAATTAATGAAGCCTCTCTCTCGTGGCGCGCTTATGATGGCTTTCTGTTATATGCTTACGTACAGCGGCTAGCTAGCTTATATGTGTGTGTGTGTCCCGCGTGCGTAGCGCAAACAATCGCGTGTATGTAGGCAGGCGCCTAATCACCAACACAGTGGTGTCCTACTCCCTGGAGGCGTCCGATTTATGTTTTCGATGTTCCGTGTACTGTACGTGGATCTTTAAAAGCTTCGCTCGAATTGTCGTGCAACGAGTTTGACTGTAGAGACTGTGTTTACCGCGCAATAGGCCGTGTTTTCCTATTGTTTCGAAAGGGCTCTTTCAAAGCACGACGATTACAATTTATAAATAACAAGCGTATAAATTGAAAGGCGAGCGCGTTCATCCGCAAGCTCGCGAGCGCACAAATAAACGCGTTTCTTTCGCTTGGAATATCTTTACACAAAACGCGGTGCAAAATATATATATCGCTGTTGCTGCACCCAGAGAGAGAGAGAGAGAGAGCTTACATACACACACGTACTTGTGCGACGCTATGAAAACGAAAACAAAATTGTGGCGAAAGATAAAAAATACAGAGGCGTATAGCAGCTACTATACTGCAGCGAGAGATGCAGAGCAAGAGGGAGGAAGGGAGAGCTAACTCTGCCGCACACTTGCGTCGTAAATTTAATTTTTCCCTTTTTCCTGTGCAGCAGCGCAGTGTCGTCGTGGTGGTGGTGGTGGTGAGGTAGGGGGACTACAGGGTGGCGCACAACTATCCTCTCTCTCTCACTCTCTCGTTCTCGCGCCCCGGCACTCGCGTCGACATTTCGATTGTTTGTTTACGCGCAAATCGTGGCGCGATATATGCACGAGCCTGCATAGAACTCGCATACACAAAAGCAGCCCATCGTGCGCTGTACGTCTCTATCTCTCTCTGCTGCTGCTGCTGTTGCTATGCGTGCGTGTTGTTTCGTTTTCTCTCGCTCGACCGGTGACTAACAGGACTGCAGTAGGGTCGAAAAATAACGCTCGCCCGGAGTTGAAAAAACAAAAAGTCGGGGAGGCAAAGTTGGGCAAAGAAGCGCGTAGCTTGCACAGCGCGATGCATATAGTGCAACTGCACCAGTGCAGTGCAGCGCCCGTATTTACTCGAATTCGAACGCTCATAGAGAGGAGGAAGTCGACTAACGGGGGGAGTCAACAAAAAGGACAAGGCCACGAAAATGTGCGAAGCGAGGTAAATTTTTGACCCACGGGCTACTGCAGCTGTAGAGGAGAGCGAGCTGAATAAACATTTTGCCGCTTGGCTCCCACACACATGCCGTCGAGTCCCTTGTACTACTACTGCTGGCTACTACTGTACTAGTAGTAGTTTAGCAGCGGACCGGTGCGTGCAGTTCAGCCGTTCGAGTGAGGTACGCTCGTGTAGAGCAGCTGCTGCGTTTTTTTTCCTTCGGACGTACGATCGCCTCTGGTCCTCTTATCCTCCGCACACATATATACGCACACACGCACGTATACACCGAAGCACGAGCGCTTAAACACGCGCGCGGGTCTACAGCTGCAGTAGTACTACACGCAACTTTATTTAACCTTTTCTTTTCTACCTTTTTTGCCTCCTTATTCGGTACCCGCTGCCCCTGCGAGCTTACGCTCGAGCTTTCGTTGCAGCTCGCTCGTTTTGCCTTGACATTTTATCGTTTGAAGAATGTAACTCGCTTTCTCGGTTAGCCTGTTTAGCCACGCGTACGAGATTTTTTTGCTCTTGCTCTTGCCTCGGCCACGTCCCACTGCATTAACAATTTTTTTTTGCGCGCGGATCTAATGCATTTCCTTGTGCACGTTTCTTTTGCTATGCAAATTCTTTTGCGCGAGGCTGTGTGTGTGTGCGTGCGTACGTAGGAGTCTCTCCGAGCGACTGGAATACATTCATTATACGATCTTAAGATATTGAAATTTTTCGTAACGAGACCGAAAGTATTGAGAGTATACTTTATTTTAATTTTTTTTCGAACGGCACCGAGATTCTCCGAATAAATTTGACATTTTCAATTCTAAATTTAAACTTGAATGTAAAATATTTGGTTTAATTTTCATTATTAATAAATAAAAATCGCTGCCATCCTTCTGCGAATATGACTATTCTTATAAAATTACGAATAATTGTTAATGGAATAAATCATTGTTTAATTTCAAAATAATAAATGTTTAAACTAGATACGTGCAACAGTTTCAACATTTAAGGGCTTATATACACCTTAAATTCAAAATTTTTTTATTCAATTTTTGAACGGGATTTTTTCTCCCCTTTCCATTGCATTTTTCGAAATTCCAAAATTTTGATTTTGCACTGAGATACAGCTGTTTCCGTGAGCCTTTTTCCTATACTTTACGTGTTAAATTTTTTCTTCTTTTGCGTTTTCTGGCAAGTAGTGTATTTGGTCACCTTTCGTAATATTCAGAGGGTACCGATTGAGCTTTCTGCACCACGGATGCTTACATTTCTTCAGAACATGAATGGTTACGGCCACTACCACGGGCGAGACGATTGAGCTCATAGATCATTCTCAAAACGTATTCTTATGACTTAAATTTCGGCAAAAACGAAAAATGAAAAAAAACGTGTGTTTAACTGTTCATGCATAGCAATCTGAGAGTTCGGTCGTCTCACTCGTGATAGTAGCCGTAACCATTCATGTTCTGAAGAAATGTACGCGACCCTGGTGCACAAAGCTCAATCGGTACCCTCTGAATATTACGACAGGTGACCAAAAACACTACTCGCCAAAAAACGCAAAAGAAGAAAAAATGTATAAAAACGTATAGGAAAAAGGCTCACGGAAACAGCTGTATCTTACTGCAAAATCAAAATTTTGGAATTTCGAAAAATGCAATGGAAAGGGGAGAAAAAATCCTATTCAAAAATTGAATAAAAAATTTTTTTTGAATTTAAGGTGTATATAAGCCCTTAGAGAAAACTATATTTTTTTTCAGAATGTGACTTTTGAAATATCTTCATCAAAGTTTGACTTTGTAATAAGTACTAAAAAAAGTAACTTCAGGCTTCTGAAACAAGATGATGGTTGGTCCCGGAAATTTCAATAGTATTTAGAAATATGTATGGATCGATAGAACTATGATAGCCTTTCGATCATTTGATACACGATTAGTTTTGCATTTACTAGGATTTTTTTGCGTATACAAACAATAGAGTGAAAAGTTTAAGAATAGCTTTTACTTCAAGAGTTAACATACCGATAGATAGTAGTTTCTTGGAAAGCACTGTTTTTATTTTAATTTATATAAGATAAGTAAATAAAAATTGTTCACAATCACAAGAAATTAATGACACTTTGAAATTCTTTATTATTCTATACAAAATTGAAAGATATTTATGTAAAAGATTTTTTGAAATATCGTAGTATATTCATGCGATTATGAAGGCCTTCAATATGTCAAAACACCTTCAAACAAATCTCACGCTCCTAGGATTTTCTTCCATTATGTATCTTCAATATGTGTCTATTGAGGGTACTATTTTTTCCAAATTATATGTGACAGATCTCACATTCAAAGGGTTTGTTTCGATCATGTACTAATGTATGTGAGTTTTGAGATAATCTTCTCGTCCAAATGATTTATGACAAATCTCACATTTGAAGGGTTTGTTCGTTTTATAACGGAATCCGTTTGTAATCGAAATCATTTGATCTTCGTGATTAAAATAATTAGTCTGAATTTGGTCTTCAATTTTCGAAATAGGTCGGCAATTTTGATTCTCAGTTTTACATACTGTTGTTAATGGAGATGGCAGTTCAGGTTTAATATTTTTGCACTCAATCTCAATGAATATTTTTTCATCTAACTTTTGCTGAAATGCCATAACCTCATTGGCGTAATTTTCCTAATATTAGCGAGATATTAATATTGTGGTATATTAGCGAGAAGTCCTGCTGATTGCGAAACTCCTTTGCCATGTTTCCCCTTCCACTACCGACTAGCCATAAGCGGTAACATAACTGATGACCGACATTTCTTATTTTCATACTTCCGAATATGAATTAAAGTATATTATAAATTCGGTATATTATTCTACAATTTTCTTTTTAAAGTCTCAGCTTTTTCGGGAGAGACAATGTTAATTTTTATCACACCGCTTATTTTCATGTGTTCTACATTTAAAAAATTATAACTAAATTGAAAGAACATCTTAAAGATGTTCAAACTTTCAATATTTGTAACTGTCATCGGTATTAATTAAATTAACGCAATTTTCAAGAGTCGTATAAAATCACAACGTGATAAAAAAATATTGTCTCCAAAAAAGCCGCATTTTACCGAACAAGCTTTGAAAATTATATTACTTAGATACATTTTTTTTTAGACCGATTTCAGAAAACGGGTTAATCCTCTGTATTTTTATTGTAAATAACTTTACTGAATTATATCAAATTTCATTTTGTAGTTTTAGCGGAAATTTTTTAATACTGAATATAGATTTTATCCAAGTTAAAAAATGTA